CATGAAAGTTCCTCAGGGAATCGGATATTATTTATATTAACTCCTAGTGAGGTGAATGATAGTGAAATTAAATGCTTATATTTGTTAAAAATTAGGCAGAGGTGGCATAGGGATTGTGGTAGTGGTGATAGAAATATCATTTGGAGGCAACTGGGTGAATATAAAATAAACATATAGATATAAAACATTAGATATAAAACATTAGATAAAAAACAAAATAAACCTCCAGAGGAGTTCACAGTTCCTTATTATCTTGGCCACCAGTAACTCTAGAACGGGTAAGGCGTTTGTTGAATCGTCATTTTTTTCTTTGCTAATCTTTAATAATAGATTCATCATGTTTTCTAACAATGTGAGGGATTAAGATTAGGTTAGCTTAGACAAATAAAGAAATCAGCCACAAATAAATAAACTATTGTTGAAATTAAACAAACATTAATGTACTGTAAACCTGTAGAGGAGTCAATATTAGAAGTATATTTCTAGTAGTTGGGGGGCTATAATCAAAAAAAAATTTTGGGGACTTATCAAGCCTATCATATTTTGCATTTGTTCATTATTAATGACTGATATATCAATATTTGAACAATTATAAAGAAGAAATAAGATGGGGATAGTTAACTAAAGTAAAAACAAAACAATTCTCAAGTTAATTTTATAAGGTAGGATTAAAATAAAATACCATTCGGAAAGTCCAATTGGCAAATTAAAAATAAATAGGAACCTTGTGAATAGATATAGAATAATTTAAATAATATAAATACCATAGTATGTATTTTGTTTTGGAATAAAAGTAAAATCCTAAAGATAGAAACCTCGTTTTGTCTTTTTTATTGAGTTATACAAGAGAATTAGTAAGAATAAAAAGGAGTATTGTTAAAAAGGTAGGATCCTTAAGAATAAATATATAATTTTAATTGAATAAAAAAAATATTGTAATATATATATCGATTTTTTGGATAGATATAAAATCCTATATAAAATTATTTATAATAAAAATAATGTACTTATTTTTTGGTGAGTTATACAAAATTATCAGCATGGAGAATAGAGCAATTGTGGATCTGACAAAAGGCAAGCTTTTAAAAAAGTAGGATCCTTAAAAATTGATATATTAATTTAGTTAAATATTAAAAATAATGTACTTTGGATATTTTTCTGTTTAGACAAATTATTCATCAGAGATAAAAGGATATATTGTGCGGCCCGGCAAAATGGATAGCTTTAAAAATACGTAGGATGCTTGAAATAGATATATAAATTTATTTAAATTATAAAAAATATCATACTAAGTATTGTAAATGGAAAGAAAATAGGGAAATTAAAAGGGAAAGGAAGCTAAAGATAAAGAAACAGGAAATTAAAAAGTTTGAGAAAGGTGAAGGTAATAAAAGAAATTAAAAGGGAAGGAAAGGAAAATATAATATTTTTTTTAATTTTTTATCAGGCTGATTTTTCATATATTATTAAAGACTATTGTTAAAATAATTAATATTAGTGACATCTTCAAGTCGGCTTAGCATAGCCAGTCTACATTTTGTACTGGTATTTGTGATGTCACTAATTAGTAGATTGAAAATGGGGGGGGGGGGGCACATTCTTGTTTTATACCACATTTTTGTTTTAAAAAAGGTATGGTTAATCTTTTGTGTTTTGAAACTATTTTTATAAATATTTATAATAATTTTGAATGTGTGTAGCTGGAATGGGAAAGCTTAAATTATTGATGTTATACTTTTTGTAAACTAAGGGTATGATGATTGTTTGATTTGTAAAAACTCATTTTATAAATTAAAAATATACTTTGCTTTTCTTCTCAAAATTAATATGAGCTGAATTAATAATTGAATGATATTTATTTTTTGATATCAACCCTTGTAAAAACTCATTTTAATAAATAAAAAATAATAATTTACCAGGATAATAGTTGCTTAATCAGCCTCTGTACAATCATTAAGAGAGGTTAAGACAGGGCTTGTTATCTAAAATAAAAACATAAGAATAATTATAAAAATATTAATGTATTAAACCTGAAGAGGAATCAATATTAGGTTCAACTCTCTAGAAAGAGTCGAAATATCATCAGAAGCTAAAATTGATGTATTCTAAATGTAAAAAAAATATAAGCATTGAAAATTTAATTTACTTGAAAGAATTGAATGATATTTATTTTTTGATAATAGCCCTTGTAAAAACTCATTTTTTGGAAAATAAGAGTGTATGATTGTTTGATTTGTAAAAACTCATTTTTTAAATAAAAAATATTATTTACCCTTTCTTCTCAAAATGAATATGAGTTGAATTAATAATTGAATGATATTTAATTTTTGATATCATAAATTAAAAATATTATTTACCATTTCTTGGATTTTCTTCTCAAAATATTTCACCTATAAAAAAAGTAAATAAATAAAATTTTTTATAAATTATAAATATTATTTACCAGGATATAATAGTTGCTTTTTATTTGAGTCTTGCTTTTATAAAAAATAAATAAATTAATAAAAATAAATAAATACGTAGTGATGACATGACGTCACAATGACGTAGTTAGGACATTGGAAAATTATAATATAGATAAACGACTACACAGTTGACCATTATTGATTATCTACAATATATATGTTCTCAGCAGCTGTAGTAATAATCTTAAATTACATAGCCACACAAATAATAGATGCTGGTTAATTTACAGTCATAGCCATGACACTCACGATGGTAACCCCATATCAGAATTTATTATGTTAGAGAAATTGATGAAACAAAAACACTAAAAATCTTTAGAAGAAATTATTAAAATATATTGATGCCTTGAGTTATTTACACGGCAAGGATGATATATTAGAGATGAAACATTTTGTAACTATAAAATAAGAAGAGTGATATCATGAAAGCTATTAAAATTTTATATATTATTGTCACACTGTTGGTATATTATATCTTAAAATAATAGTAGTCTGTAATAATATCTAAAATATATTAGTATTAAAAATTTAACTCAAAACTGTTTTTAAAGAAAAAAATAGCTTTTCTTGAATTTCATATTTTGTCATTTATTATATTTTGCATACAAAATAAACTAACAAATTAACAACATATTTAAAAATAATATTTTTTAATACAAAATATATTTATTACAGTATTAAATATTTTCGATGGTTGATATAAAAAAATTGCGTCTAAAGAATTACAAGTGATAAAAAAGGTTAATTAATTCATACATATGCCTCAATTGATAATGATTTTTAAAACCACATAATGCTATATAATTCTAGGCAACTTACATTGACAAAAGGTCATGAAACTAATATAACTCTCTGTTACCATTTTAGACAATGTTTTATAGAATGGACTAATAAGAAAAAATTTATAAGCCTTACCGAATTAACAGTTCTTGAAGAGAATATTAACGACCAATATTAATCATAAAACTATATGGTAGTTAGAGATTCATCTTAGATGACATGATGGAACCTTGATAAGTAATCGAGAAAATTATTGTGAGATATTAAATTTCTAAAAAATTATTTTCATTTTTAATGATATATAAATGAATAAACAGTTGACCATTATTGCATATCTAAAATATGCAATCACATGCTCTCAGCAGCTGTAGTAATAAACTCAAATTACATAGGCACACAAATAATAGATGCTGGTTAATTTACAGTCATAGCCATGACACTCATGATGGTAACCCATATCAGAATTTATTATGTTAGAATTGATGAAACAAAAACACTAAAAATCTTAAGAAGAAATTATGCAAATATATTGAAGCCTTGAGTTATTTACATAGCTAGGATGACATATTAGAAATGATTTTGTAACTATAAAATAAGAACCAGAGTGATATCATGAAAGCAATTAAAATTTTATATATTATTGTCGTACTATCTCTAGTTGATATATTATATCTTAAAATAATAGTAGTTTGTAATAATATCTAAAATATATTCGTATTAAAAATTTAACTCAAAACTGTTTTTCAAAGAAGAAGAAAAATAGCTTTCCTAAAAACACATAAAGAAAGAGAGGAAAAGATATCTAATTTATTAGGATATTGTTACTTGCAACTATTGTTGCATTTAAAAATTTATAAAAAAAGTAAAATTTTCATTTTTTAAAGAACGCATGTTGTTTTTTTTTACCATTAACAATATTTATTTATTTCAAAATAATTTTTTTTTTATTTATAAATAAATATATTTTTTTTCATAAATAAAAATTATTTTATTAAAAATGGAAATTGTGAAATAGATACTATTGCAGGTAAAAAATATATTTTTTTATGCCAAATATTTATTTATGGTATTAAATTATATAAAAGTAAAATTTTCATTTTTTAAAATAATTTTTTTTTTATTTTGAATAATAGATAACAGCAGAAGAATTCCATGAAAATGACCAAAAAAACAACTCAAAACTTATCTTAATTCTTTTTATACTATAGGCATTACAATAAACTGGATAAATTAAGACTCTTCATAAGCAAATATTTTTATTAAGCTATAAATTATAAATATGTTTTTTTCCTAATTAATTAAATTTTTCATGTTTAATCTAATTTTCACAATATATATATTTAGTCTACACTAAAAATAGATAACTGCAGAATAATTCCATGAAAATGACCAAAAAAACAAAATAGATTATATCTTAATTCTTTTTATACTATAGGCATTACAATAATCTGGATAAATTGAGACTCTTCATAAGCAAATATTTTTATTAAACTATGAATTATAAATATGTTTTTTTCCTAATTAATTAAATTTTTCATGTTTAATCTAATTTTCACAATATATATTTAGTCTACACTAAAAATAGATAATAGCAGAAGAATTCCATGATGACCAAAAAAACAACTCAAAACTTAGATAAATAGATTATATCTTAATTCTTTTTACAATAAACTGAATATTTATTTCTTTTTCATAACATTTGTATTTTAAATATGATTACACTATTTAAATATATTATAATAAAAATAGATACAATTATAATAATTTTGAATGCAATTTGTGAAATGACAAGGTTTTAGGTAATTGTAATTGATCCTGTATGGGTAGTTCTATATTCTTTTTGGATAATTGTAGATTTTCTTTGGGTAGTTCTAGATTCTCTTTGGATAATTGTAGATTTTCTTGATTCGTGATATCCTGCATTATAGAAAGATCGATTTCATTATCTATTTCTTTATTTAAAACTTTTTTTTTGTTAAAAATAGTGTACTGCATTTTTTTCTTTTTTCTATTTATTTTTTCAGGCATTTTTAAATTTTTAACTAATTCTAAGGAATTCGAAGATGATGGTAAACTATTAATATTCTCTTTGTTTTCCAATGTATTTATTCTTTTTTTGCTTTTAAGATATTCTAGGTTACATACCTTTTCACATGTTTCTTTTAATTCCTGAAAGCATATAATCATCAGGTCATTTGGTAGCTCCTTAATAAAGTTGCCAATATTATTTTGAAAATATTCTTGTGTCATTTTATATATTTCTATATCTGTTGATTCACATTTATTTTTAGTATTTTTTGAAATAATTTCTATATCAATATTATCATCCCTTTCTTCATAATTTATACTATTTTCACTTAAATATGGGTATAAATTGTATTCCTTCCACCACCTTAAAGCACATAAGGAATCATCATAGAGGGAGATATTGTTATCTTCCCTGTATCTGAAAATATGTTTACAAGGTAAAAGATACCTTTGCTGGAAACCACAATTACATAAATTTTCACTAACATTGAAATCTTCATAAGTTATATTAAAAGAATATTTTATTTCAAGGTTGACTCTTTTATAAGCTTTTAGAGTCAATAATTTGGAGAATAAAAATTGTGGGGAAGATGGTGGCAGACTTGTATAATTAAGTCTACTATTTGTAAGGATTATATCTTTATTCTTGTCCTCCAAACAATTTAAATATTCATTTAAATTTTTATAAAAAATATGTAAGGAAGAATTCCTTTTAATAATTCGTTTTAGGGCACGATTTGTCCCTTCAATTCTATTATTTGTAAAATTCCCAAAATTTACTGATTTATTTCTCCATGCCAAGCAGAATTCCTCACGAATTCCATGCCAATTTGTATCAAAGTATAAAAATACCTTTTGATATTTTGAATTTTTTAAATAATAATAATATTTCCAATATATGCCAGGGGTTTCTGCATAAATTAAACGTCTAAATAGGACATGCATTTTTTTGACTTCAATTATTGTTAAATTATATTTTATTGTTGTTAACTGTCTTTTGAATATTTGTAGAACATGAAAAATACAAATTTCCAATTTAGCATTGGGAAATTCATCTTGATAGATTGCTCTTTCTGTAAAATTTTTATCAGATATAATTGTAAGAGTTTTTAGGAAAACATTATTATAATTTTTAAAAATCTGGCACATATTTTTAACTGTGGTGGAGCTCTCTGATAAAACTAACCAGATTGCAACTATTCTGGTATTCTCTTCACCATCTATTACACCCAAAGTGAAAACTGGCAAGTGGTAGGAATTTAAATTATATGTTGCATCAATTAACACCACCTCTGGATATCGCAAATAATGATCTTGCATTTTTTTAGTTTGATAATATAAGGCTTTAAATATGCCATTTTCTTCAAATAATTCCACAATATTGGTTATGTCTAATTTTATAGTTTTAATCAGATCTTCCAGATCATTAACACTACATGGATTTTTCATATATTGATGTTTTAGATTATATAAATCCCTTTTGGTTATATTTAAATTCTTTCTTTTCATTTCTTGATGTATCAATGTAAGATTTCCATCATATTTAAGAGCTTGGTGAATTATTGACTTTTGATCACCATCCAATTGTCTTTGCCGGCAAGATGCCATGAACAAAGATAGATCTATAAATAAATTATGTTATATACATTTAAAAATAATAAAACCTCTATCATGATTATGTATATCATGTATACTGATACATTTTAGATATGGTCCATCTTTGGCAAAAGAAATTCTGGATAAACAATTTTTCTTGACAGACAATCTTTGTCTTTTTCCTTTAAAAAATTTTAATATATACTTTAACCCTTTTATACTCCGTTAAGTATTATTTAGGCAAATTAAAATTAGCTAAAATGCATTTCAGGAAAACATAACATTATTATCATGTTCCAAAAAAAAGAAAAAATGTCATAATGCTATCAACATTCCATCATAATAAAAATATTGATAATAATAACCAACAAAAACCTGAAATCATAACAAGTTTAAGGTTAGTTCTATCTTATATTCAAATATTAAATCAAAATAATGAATATAACTGGAGATATATACATTTGAAATTGGGGTCTATTAAACCCCACCGGAGTACTAATAACGTCATTTTTTTCACTGGTGTATGTATTGAAGGGTTAATAAAAATTAAAACCTTTTGATTTGGATGGTCTGATCTTGCCCTCATAACATTGGTAATAAAGTCGTTCGTACATTATTGTAGACTTAAGTATTGGGTCCTTCGATTTTTTAGAATGGTGTATTGAATAATTTGTCGCATTAGAAATTTCGTATTTATTTAGCCATTCTTTTAAAGTGAAGAATGACGAATATCTAACATTTACTTCAAAAGGTATGTAATAATAATAAATAATATTTTTTACCTGCAAGAGTTGTATCTATCTCATAATTTCCAGTAGGGCTTGATTCGATCATAGGAGGGACTAATACCATAAATAAATATTTGGCTTAAAAAAATATATTTTTTACCTGCAATAGTATCTATTTCACAATTTCCAGTAGGGTTTAATTCGATCATATTTGACTTTAATTAATTATAAAAAAAAATGGAGAGCTAATTTTTAATAAAATAATTTTTATTTATGAAAAAAAAAATATTTATTTATAAATAAAAAAAAAATTATTTTGAAATAAATAAATATTGTTAATGGTAAAAAAAACAACATGCGTTCTTTAAAAAATGAAAATTTAATTAATTAGGAAAAAAAACATATTTATAATTTATAGTTTAATAAAAATATTTGCTTATGAAGAGTCTCAATTTATCCAGAATTGTAATGCCTATAGTATAAAAAGAATTAAGATATAATCTATTTTGTTTTTTTGGTCATTTTCATGGAATTATTCTGCTGTTATCTATTTTTAGTGTAGACTAAATATATATATTGTGAAAATTAGATTAAACATGAAAATTTTAATTAATTAGGAAAAAAAGATATTTCTAATTTATAGCTTAATAAAAATATTTGCTTATGAAGAGTCTCAATTTATCCAGTTTATTGTAATGCCTATAGTATAAAAAGAATTAAGATAAGTTTTGAGTTGTTTTTTTGGTCATTTTCATGTAATTCTTCTGCTATTATCTATGTAGACATATATATTGTGAAAATTAGATTAAACATGAAAATTTTAATTAATTAGGAAAAAAACATATTTATAATTTATAGCTTAATAAAAATATTTGCTTATGAAGAGTCTCAATTTATCCAGTTTATTGTAATGCCTATAGTATAAAAAGAATTAAGATAAGTTTTGAGTTGTTTATTTGGTCATTTTCATGGAATTCTTCTGCTATTATCTATGTAGACATATATATTGTGAAAATTAGATTAAACATGAAAAATTTAATTAATTAGGAAAAAAACATATTTATAATTTATAGCTTAATAAAAATATTTGCTTATGAAGAGTCTTAATTTATCCAGTTTATTGTAATGCCTATAGTATAAAAAGAATTAAGATATAATCTATTTATCTAAGTTTTGAGTTGTTTATTTGGTCATTTTCATGGAATTCTTCTGCTATTATCTATGTAGACATATATATTGTGAAAATTAGATTAAACATGAAAATTTTAATTAATTAGGAAAAAAACATATTTATAATTTATAATAAAAATATTTGCTTATGAAGAGTCTCAATTTATCCAGTTTATTGTAATGCCTATAGTATAAAAAGAATTAAGATATAATCTATTTATCTAAGTTTTGAGTTGTTTATTTGGTCATTTTCATGGAATTCTTCTGCTATTATCTATGTAGACATATATATTGTGAAAATTAGATTAAACATGAAAATTTTAATTAATTAGGAAAAAAACATATTTATAATTTATAATAAAAATATTTGCTTATGAAGAGTCTCAATTTATCCAGTTTATTGTAATGCCTATAGTATAAAAAGAATTAAGATATAATCTATTTATCTAAGTTTTGAGTTGTTTATTTGGTCATTTTCATGGAATTCTTCTGCTATTATCTATTTTTAGTGTAGACATATATATTGTGAAAATTAGATTAAACATGAAAATTTTAATTAATTAGGAAAAAAAGATATTTATAATTTATAGCTTAATAAAAATATTTGCTTATGAAGAGTCTCAATTTATCCAGTTTATTGTAATGCCTATAGTATAAAAAGAATTAAGATAAGTTTTGAGTTGTTTTTTTGGTCATTTTCATGGAATTCTTCTGCTATTATCTATTTTTAGTGTAGACATATATATTGTGAAAATTAGATTAAACATGAAAATTTTAATTAATTAGGAAAAAAAGATATTTATAATTTATAGCTTAATAAAAATATTTGCTTATGAAGAGTCTCAATTTATCCAGTTTATTGTAATGCCTATAGTATAAAAAGAATTAAGATAAGTTTTGAGTTGTTTTTTTGGTCATTTTCATGGAATTCTTCTGCTGTTATCTATTATTCAAAATAAAAAAAAAATTATTTTAAAAAATGAAAATTTTACTTTTTTTATAATTTAATACCATAAATAAATATTTGGCATAAAAAAATATATTTTTTACCTGCAATAGTATCTATTTCACAATTTCCATTTTTAATAAAATAATTTTTATTTATGAAAAAATATATATTTATTTATAAATAAAAAAAAAATTATTTTGAAATAAATAAATATTGTTAATGGTAAAAAAAAAACAACATGCGTTCTTTAAAAAATGAAAGTTTTACTTTTTTTATAAATTTTTAAATGCAACAATAGTTGCAAGTAACAATAGCCAATTTATTACATCCATTGTGGGATGAATAATAAGATGTTTAATTACAATAACTTTAAATAAATAGATGGAGTTAAATAGTTGAATGCAAATTGTTACTTATATTTATTATCAAAAGCATTGATTAGTAAAATTTTAAAAATATTAACTGTAATATATTATATAACTGTCAAATACGTCTGCAAAAGTGGCATTTTACCTAATATTTTATAAATAATTATATATAATAGAGGATTATAAACTATATGTCTACTTACTTTTTATAAAGAAATCTCTTATACTTATTTGGATTTGGACCTTGAAAATAATTTTAGAGAGAGAGACATGATAATTAAATATAAAAATCAATAATATAGTTGATTAGTGATGTTAAACTCGGCTAATTACAATTAAATTTGTTAATATTCAATTAATAAATGATTATATTAATTTAATTAGGGTTATATAATAATTTAAATTATAAAAGTCAATTAAGATTCAATAGTTAATGCTAAATTAATATTTAGTGAGTGATATTTATATATTTTTAACACAGAATTTGATCGCAAGCCGACATAGTGAAAATATAATTTATATGTATTAATCTAATCTAATAAAAAATTAGTATGCATTTAATAAAAATTTAGATAGTCTTATTAATTTTTAAATAATAAAATTAAATCTATATATTAATCAATAGAATTATAAAAGTAATTGTTCAGGGAGCAATTAAAAAAATTTATTTTTAGTTCAAGGGTATATTAAGGAGTCATTAAAAAAGAATTTGCTTCAGGGGGCTATTCAAATTTTTCAGGGGGCTCGAGCCCCTGCGCGCCGCTCCCCTTAGCGATGCCACTGCTCCTTTTTCATAAGTATGTTTATGATTGGAGGGAGTCAATTGATCTTCAAGAGTAATCCCAGATCAGGAATTGACCTGTCTTTCAAATAATTTAAGAAACCTCATCCGAGCGATTCCCCAAGATCTGAAGGTTCTAGATTAGATTGAATAGCTGATCTCGTAGCCCTTAGGACGATTTATTACCTACATTATGTCTAACAATACAATCTCTACAAGAATGACAATGAAGCTACTTCCATTTACTTCACAGTTAAGCTGCATATGGAGCTTGTGTGGGATTGGGTTGCTAAACAGTTTAAAAATGAACATCAATGGCATAGGTGAGTTTATTTTGATTTAGTTGTAAATTTAAATTGAAACTGATGACTAGAGGCATTTAGCAGATAAAAAGGTAATAAATGGGCAGATAATTGCATTTTAGGAATGATTTAACGTAGCTTGTAATTATAGACCACGACTGATCCTAACCCTTCTGACCATTTGTTTCAGGGGGAGTGTGATCAGCCATAATTTGTGACTTTCAAAAAATAATAACAGCATCAAATGAAGTGTAAGGTGGGAAAGACCTTTATACATCATTCTTGATATTTAAAGAAACTAGTGACCTCCAAAAAATAATAGAACCTTCAAAGGAAGGATCAGGTGGAAAGGATCTTATCCACCCTTCTTGGTAGTTATAGCTAGAGGCCAAGATATTTCACTAAATCTATAGTTTACAATTTTCATTTTGCAGATTTACCAATGATATCGTAATGGGTGTAATATATTTAAACCTCGTTGATACTCAAACAGAAGAATAAAGATCCAGGAGGATCACTCTGTTGAATGTTCTCAATAGGTGGAATTATATAAATATTTAATTAAGGCAAATGAATGGTGGCAAGAATAAAAAAAATTGTATAACCAGGAAAAAGTTATATAAAAAATTCAGGAGTGAACATTGGAGAAGGTTTGTTAAAAAGCTCGATTCGGGTCGATTTTTAAAATAATTTTATATAAGCCTTGAGATTTGGAAGCAAAATCTCCTGGCTTGCATAATGTTTTTTTTAGACAAAATTGTAATCGGGTCATTTTAGAAATCTACTCGAATCGGGCTTTTAACAATTCTACACTGGAGAAGTTAATTTTGATTAAAGATTCGTTAGTAGGTTGATTCTTTAAGTGAGTTCCAGAAGATGTACAACGGTTTCACAGCTATCAGAGATCCTAGATAATGTTATATGGTCCGATTATAATTTTAGTCCAATTAATATGATGTAGGCCCTTTTTAAAAATCGACGCAAATAGATCCGTTTAACAATACTAACCCCAACACCCAGTTGGAAAGGGCTGAAAATACATGATGCCTCATGTTTTATCCTTGTAGATATGATATTAGCAACCAAGAATTGAAGAATATCATAATTAGCTTCTGCAGTGCAATTATCTAGCACCAAAAAGAATTGGAGAAACAAAGCTGGGTATATCACATTTCTAAATTTTATTGCTAAGGTTAGTTATTTTACTAAGGATGGGAATTTATGAGAATATTGAAGGAGATGTAATGACAGGAAGGAATTTATAATAGATATGATCTAGACTTTGTAGCAGAATTTTGATGAAAGGAAATTATATCCTTCCTCATTTCTTCAGAAATGAATTGAGAGGCACATATGGAGGTTGAAAGGATATTAGGGTTATAGTTGGGGTAGGGTATTTTTGGTAGCGCTTATAAGTATGACGATAAGACTCGGCTAGGGAGTCATGAATGAACAGACTGATAGTACCTTTTTTGTTTAGATTATCTATTTTTATGGAAATCAAATTTGCTTCAGCTCAATTGGTAAGTGTTTTGTTTTTTTATTTTTAAATGGAGCTCTTGTTATCTTGATGATAAAGGGCATTATTAAATGTAGCATCCTTAATTTGTTGAGTTAGG